TTGTAGATTGTAAGATTAACTACTCCCCAGTTTTTGTTATAAAACTTCTATCTTTACAATTGTGACAGTCACAATTAGTCATGATAACAATTACTCACTATCGAATCATACAAATCGTATCCCCTTCTCTTTTTACCAGACCCATCTAGACCAGATGAAAACTATTCAGTTGGGACTCTTTCTTTCCTCACACACTCTTAAAAGTAAACTCCATCATGAAACCTTGTAAGCCAGTCACTTCGTGCCTTATCACCCCGTCATTTTCGGTAGTGTACACCATTCTTGTCTTGAAGAGGCTTTGGGGGTTTGTGGGCTTGGTTATGAGGAGACTTTGCCCCATCAGGGATCCCTCCGCACTGGCCCAGGAGACCCACTTGGCTGGGGGAGCCCTGGTGGTCCCAGAAAGGGAAACTGGAGCAGAACTATGGATTCCTCATCTCTTCCAGAGCGAATTTGAAATTCTCTGGTCCCCAGTTGTCCTCTAAGACCAGCTCGGGGTTACTCTTAGTCTCTGGGTCCCGTGTGTGTCCTGTATGTCTATAATTGCATGTATTCTTGTATTCATAATATGTTCATAATAATTTCATAATATGTTCATTTATCTTGTAACTCCTGTATTACCAATTTATTGATCAATTTTCCCTTGTGTAAGTATTGAACTATCGCTAGTCCTGATGTGGCGCTGTGGGTTAATGTGTCAGACTGCAAAGCTGTTTGAACTGCAAGGTCGGCAGTTCAAGCTCACCAGCTGCTCCTTAGAAACCCTATACAGGGTCGCTGTGGGTCAGAACCTACTCAATGCACTTTACAACAACAACAACAACAAGTGTAGCACTGGAGTCCTGGACCTCAAGGTTGGTTTGAACCACCAAGTCAGTGATTCAAATTTACCAGCTGCTCCTCAGAAACCCAGTACAGGGTTGCTATGAGTTGGAACTGTTTTGGTGTAGGATAAGCATCAGACTGCAAGGTCATTTGAATTGCAAGGTTGGCAATTCAAACTCATTAGCTGCTCCTTGGAAACCCTATGTAGGGTTTCTATGAATCAGAACTGACTCCACGGCACTTAACAACAACAACAAGTGTGGCATTGTAGGGTAAGCACTGAAGTGCTAACCATAATGTCAGCAGTTCAAACCCACCGGCTGGTCCTTGGGAATCCTATACAGTGTTGCTATGAGTCAGAACCAACTGGACCACACTTAACAACAACAATTTCTTCTGTGATGCGTGACTGACTTCACACGCTCCTTTTTGATTTGAGAGATGCTGCCTTGAGTCTGTGAGTAAGTGCTCTATCTGCCAAGACACTGGCAGCCCGTTCCAGGACACAGGTCCGAGCCCCTCGCAGAAGGTCCTGATTTAGGGGTGTGGCTTCCACTGAGGCTGGGCCTTTCTGTGGGAGGCTGTGGACGGTCCCTTTGTTTTGGAAACTTGCCCTTGGTCTGCTCCTGGCCCCCAGAGCCCAGCTATATGAGACTTTTTCAGTGATCTCCCATACCTATACTACAGACCTGTGACCACCCAGTCCCTGGGCCTCTGGAGGCCTCAGGGATATCTGGAGGGGTCTGGCACTGGTGGAGGGGTGAGGCTGCTTCCTGGGCCGGCCTACGGGATTCTCAGGGGTGGTGGTGGGCTGGGGTTCTCCAGGAAAAGTACATGTCCTTTTATTCTCCTGAAGTAAGGAACTTGTAACCTTCCCTCTCATTTTTTGAAGCAATTTTAGGTTGACATAAAAATTGCGCAGAAGCTACAAAGTTCCAGTTCTTGCTAACCCTCTCCACACACACTGCACTGGGGAAGAAACGCCTGGTAAACTGCTTCTATAAAGACCATGGTGCTCTCTGGATGTGTTATCCAGAGGGAGCAGACGCTGGGGAAGGCAGCATGCTTGGAAAAGTAGAGTGTCACCGACAAAGAGGAAGACTCCCAGACAAGATGGACGACACAGTGGCAGTAGCAGTGGGCTCTAATACAGCAATGGTTGTGAGGATGGTGCAGAGGTGGCTCGAGGGCACCCACCAATAAAACAGCACCAACCCTGAGTCATGGCGAATTGGACAGCCACTAACAAGAATAGTGATGTCCTAGTCTCTCTTGTCCTTTCCACCTTGCTTTCCTGTGGTTCATTTGCTACGACTGAGGGAATGATATTGCTGCATATCAAATCCAATCCAAGGCTCACCTTCAGACTCTCTTGATGCTCTGTAGTCCTGTGTACCTCTATTACCACACCCTGCAGAACATTTTCACAGGGCTCTTTCCTGGGGGCTCCTGAGCACAACAGACCCCCACCTTGCCCTACCCACCTGAGATGACCCAGCTCCTGGACCTCTGGGCTCCATGGGTGCTGAGTGGAGTTGGAGGTTCGAAGGTGTCTGAAGGAGGCCTCGCTCATCCTCTATTCTTGTGGCCACGAGGTCTGGGGTTTTCAAGGATGATGAAAAGACAGATCATGTTTATTGGTGCCAAAGTGCAAAAAAAAAAAAAAAGTTAAAGTTAATACATATTATTAAATGACTAAAATTTGACATTGTATTGAGAAGCTGAAATTCAATTTGTCTGTCATTGTGTAAGAAGCCTGGTGATGCAGTGGTTAAGTGCTCAGCTGTTAGTGGAAGGGTCCGTGGTTCAAGTCCCTGAGCTGCTCCTTGGGAAAAAGATGAGGTTGTCTGCTTCTGTAAAGATTTACAGCTTCAGAGACCCTATATAGGGTCACTATGAGTCAGAATTGATCTGATGGCAGTGAGATTTATAAACATTTAAAAAATAGATATTATAAGGCTTAAATGTCAAGGATAAGGTAATTAATTTATGATGAAACTAAAAATTATTAGACTCCTCTGACTTTTTAACAGCACAGATGCTGTGTGGGCCCTGGGAGTTACTATGGGCCATCTTCCGGGTTGTCGTGGTACCAGGATGGTGCTTGGGGGGCACATCAGGAGGGAAGGAGAGAGGGAGCAAACTGCAGCCCTGCCATGCAGTGGGAGAGGCCTTGGGTGGGAGAAGAGGTGTTTTCACCCCAGGTATGTGGGTGCCAATCTCATTCAGGGATTCAGTCGCTGCCAAATCATCTGTGAGGTCCGACAGCTGCCACTGGAGCCCTCTGAGAGTGACCTAGGGACTCATATGGCTTGTGTTGGGCTCTCACTGTAACTATACAAACAAAATGTATAATCTGTAGGCATGTGTGTTCTACACTGAGTGTGCTGTCCCTGGTGAGGTTAAACATGTGTTGTCATGAGCTCATGTCCATTGCGATCTCTGTAGCTTGCAGTGTCATGGGTGGGATTGTGACTTCTTACAAAATGTGGTATCCGTGTCTGTGACTGTGACCACCAACGGAAAGAGGGTCTTTAGACGTTATCAGCACGGTTGCCATGGCCTCAAGAGGAGCAAGGTGGGTCCTGATCCATGGAAACACAGGCCACGGGAAGACCATGTGAAGATGCAAAAGGGTACCTGGGAAAACCAGAGCTGGGAGAGATCAGGATAGACCTTCCCTGCAGAATTCACAGAGCGTCCTGCATTCCGACTCCCAATCTCCAGAGCTATGAGAGAATCTGCTTCTGGTCTTGTGAGGCTCTTGGCACTTTGTTAGGTGGTCCTGGAAACTGGCACAACTCAGGGTTTGGGTTGGACCCCAGGGCTGATCCGGTGTGTCCTCTGGCTAAGCCTGCGCAGCTCCTCCGCATTGGTCTCTGAAGCTGGGCCTCATGTGAGCCATCCTGAGCCTGCAGCCCACATTGGCTAGGCAGGGACAGGTGCAAAGGCAGGAGGAACAGGTCCAGGGGTATGAGCGGTGTCAGTGCGAACAGCAGTGGGAACAGGGCAGCACCACGGACGTGTTGCATGGTGAGGCATGTGAGAAGGTGAATGTGGCACACAGGATAGCCTGGGACGTACGTGCTCCAGGCTGAACTCGTGTGCAGGATGTGAGCAGGACGCCACAAACACAGCACACACGGGTTAGGCGTGCAGGGCCTCTGCTAGAGAGAAAGATCCAGGGTCGGCGCTGGGAGCCCTTGGGTGTGACTGTGGGCTGAGGGCCCTGGGGAGAGGACAGTTGGAGAACCCTATGACTCTGTCCATGTCTCCCAGCCTCTTTCCCTTTCCTCTCCTCTACATCCTTCTCTAAATTTCAGGAGGAGGTGAGTGGGGTGACATAGGGGTACATGTGCACAGACTGGGGGACATCAGGCCAGACCCCTAAGTATCCCATCCCCCAGGCCCCCCAGTTCTACAGCATCCCCTTCTCCAACCTGAGTCCTGGGCTGGAGGCAGCAGAGGGTCATAGGCGGGTGGGCGTGGGTCTCAGGATGTCTTGGACCTTTCAGGTCCAGCTGTGGGTTAGTGGAAGTCCAAGGCCACCAGGTTCCAGGGTCAGGGAACCATACTTCCAACTTTCCTTGGAGGGGCCTTGCATGTGCTTGTATCCCCAGGGTATTCACACAGCACCCAGTGCAGACCAGGTGCCTTTGGTGTGTGCCACACATGTGTTAGCACACATGGGTGTGAACCATATCTGTATTCATCATGTGCCCACGTGTCCCCGGGTGACCCACGAGTATCTCTGTGGGTGTGTCACATGTCTCCACACGTGTCCTGAGCCTTGATCATAGCAAAGACGCAGACATGAACCCTGGGGGACAGTGTGGGACGCCAAGTCCTGGGCTTCAGCATGCCACGTCCAGGTATCCTAGCGACGCTGCTGCCTGTCTCCTAGCAACCAAGTTCCCATCCTTGAGGAGGGAGGGTGCTTCATGAGGGGCTGAGCCCAGGCAAGCAGCCCTGTGACTTAGGTCAGGGGGCACTGAGTGGCTTTAGCCTGTGTTTTCTATTCCAGCCAGTGCCACACCTTTGTGTTGAGTGGAAGTTTGGCTGGTCACAACCCAGTCATCCCAGGTGTGTTTCAAGTGACAGACTGACCCCTGCCTGTGCCTGCTTTAAGGCAATCTTTGCAGAAAGCTGATTGGGCAAGTGCAGGGGGCAGGGTGCTCGGACACCTTGCTGAGGAGCCGGGGAGAACCATGTCAGGATGAGCAGCTGCATTCTGGGACTCTGAGGGTGTTCTCAGAACAGGGCCAGAGCCTGCTGAGGTGATAGGTGAGTCCATGTGTCTCTGAGCTGTGTCTGCCTGGGTCTGTGCATGCCCCCTTCTATCTGTCTGCCTGCCATGTGGGGTGTACTGACCCTTCCCTGTGTGCTCCCTCTCCTACCCAGGTGGCCCCTCCCCACCAGAGCTGCAGCTTCCTCCCCTCCCCCAGCTTCTGGCTCCGCAGCTTTTACAGCGACTGCGTCTGGCGTCTAGAGAAGGAGAAGCTGCCGCCGCCACCGCCGCCGCCGCCGCCGTACCCACTGCTGCTGCTGCTACCGCAGCCCGTGCAGCCCGAGTGGAGTGGGGAAGGGTCTCGGCACTGCTCACTGCTGGACCCCCAGTCCCTTGGTCCCTGCCCCTCCTGCCTGCTGAGGCCTGGACCCTATCGCCCCACTGCTGGTTCCCAAGGTAAGGGCCTGAGTCTGGGCGTGGGGGTGGAGTACAGATGGGGGCCAGCTTCTGGGGGGCAGAGTTGAGGGGGGCAAGAGGAACCTGGGCATTTGGCTCCCCATGTCCTGGGTCCCATGTGTTTCTGAGCATGTTTTGTCTGTGGGGTCAGATACTCAGACAGGTCCCTTATGCCCGTGTGTGCATGAAGGCTGGTTCGGGCAGGTGTGCACTCACATGTGTTTCTGCATGCCTGAGGCTGTGTGCACACAGGCAGCTGTATGTCTGTGTGTCCCTGGACTGCACACGTGTCTTGGTGTGTAACCACATCCACACAGCTCCTGTGTGTGTCTGTAAACCAAATGGGACCACGTCTCTGTGTGAGCTCCGGTGTGCATGTCTGTATGTCTCCCTGTGTGTTCCCCTGTGGCCCTCCCTGTGCACATACATGTCTCGAGGTCTGTGGCTGTCAGTGGCCTCCTGCCCCCTCCGGTGCATGTGGGCTGCATAGTCACATGTCTCTGTACTGCCCCAGGTGCTGAGAGGCCAAGCGCTGCCATGGAGTCCCTCTTCCCCGCCCCATTCTGGGAGGTCTTCTACAACAGCCACCTGCAGGGTAACCTGTCTCTCCTGAGCCCCAACCACAGCCTGCTGCTCAACACCAGCCACGGCTCCTTCCTGCCTCTAGGACTCAAGATCTCCATTGTGGGGCTCTACTTGGCTGTGTGTGTGGGGGGGCTGCTGGGGAACTGCCTCGTCATGTATGTCATCCTCAGGTAGGCCAGCCCCGCCCCCACAAGAAACACCCAAGTGGTCAGATGGCCACAGAGGGGGAAACTGAGGCAGGGCTATCAGGACAAGCCTGGGGCAGGTGGGTAGTTCTCTGCTTCCAGCACCCAATTCCTGGTCATTCTGTCCAGGGGATGGGGGATGTCAGTCCTGATGCACTGGACATTCAGTTTCTGAGGGTGGAGATAAAGGAGAAAAGGGACCAGGCCCTACTCCTGTCTGTCTGGGGAGGGGAGGGGGTACCCAGGCTCTGCCCATGTCTGTCTGGGGAGGGAAGCTGAGACCCAGGCCCTGCCCCTGTCCATTGGGTTCGAGAGGAGTGGACACAGATACTGACTTTGGCTGCTGGGGGTGAGTACACCTGAATCCCAGGCCCCATTAATGACATCACTGGTGTGAGGTGGCCCTGGCTCCATGCCAAGCTGTCTGTATGACTTCTTTCATCAGAGCCTAGCAGTGCCCCTGATGTTGCTCTTTTATTAGCCCACTCTGTATAAGGGTGGAGTCCTGGGGTGGTGCTGTGGGTTAATGCACTGGACTGCAAAGTCTGTTTGCACCGCCAGGTTGGCGGTTCAAGCTCACTAACTGCCCCTCGGAAACCCTATACAATGTCACTATGGGTTGGAACTGACTCTGTGGCACGTAACAACAACATAGAAGGACAAACAGAGGTGCATAGAGTATGTGGTGGTGGGCAGCTCACAGAGCCAGAGCTTGGAGCTAAGAGCTGACAGCTGTGGCTGGCCTGGTTCTGTGATGCTCAGACGTGGGAAAGTTCAAGGTAAGATGGCCAAGCTCAGCTGTCAGGTGGGTGAGTGAACACGGGAGACGACCCAGCAGAGGGGAAAGCATTGTGATACTTAGATCATGCAGGTAAGAGAGAGCTGGGGCAGGTGTGGGTTCTTGAGTGCCACCTGGTTATTTTGTTCTTCAGACAGTAGGGAGCCATGGAAAGTCCTCGAGCAGGAAAGTGACCCAGTCAGGATGAGGGCTCCTTCTAATCCAGGATGTGTGCCCTTGGCCCAGAAAGATAGGATTGTGAAGAAAGTGCTCAGAGCCCTAAAGCAAGTAGCTTCACCTTATAACTCAAAGCCCCCAAAGCAGAGGTGCCACTAGTAGGTAGAGTGGTGGTGGAGGCAGGACACAACAGTGGGGAGTGCCCAGGCCTGCCTCAGAGTGACCCTTAGCAAGTCCGATTCCACTCTGGGCTTCTTTTTGCCCATTTGGAAAGTGAGGAGAGTAAACCAGATATCTTCATGGTGCAAAGTATGTGTGCCTGAACACATGCGCGCACACACACAGGGACACGTGTGTAGACACACAGAAATGCACCACATGACACACACACACAGGATTCATGTATGCTCACAAACACATGTGCACACATGCACACTGTGTGGGTGCATGCATGTGTTTGTGTGTATGATGCACAGTCAGACAAGGGGATGGGAGGAGTAGCTGCCCCCTGTCCATTGCTGATCTGCAAGGCCATTCCTTTCCGCAAGCCCTGTGTGGCTGGAAGGCATGTTGTGGGTGAGGAGTGACTAGCTGGGCAGTTCTCATGCCTTGTCTACACTTGCTTTCACTGTGAATCTGTCCTCTGCACTGGGGCAGGGAAGCGCTCACACCGTGGCCTGGATTAGAACATGTAGGGAAAGCCAGTGCCCATGAGCAGTCCCCAGAGAGAGTGATGTTCCGGAAGCACTGTGAGTCCACTGCATGCGGTGTGCTCAGAGCCAGCAGACTCACAAACATGGCCAACACGCTCTGAAATTTACTTGGTGCCTCCTCCGTTGACCAGAGGCAGTAGTGCCCACCCAGTGCTTTCATGAGTCTTAAGGGAGGTAAAATCCCCGTGAAGAGCTTGGCACAGGTAGGTATCTGCCATTGCTGTTGGTATTTGAGTATAATTGAGGCTTCTTTGTACTTATTTTTTAAATCCCTCTCTCAGAGGCAGATCTAAACACAAATTCTCTCATGGTGTCTAAACTGACACAGAAAACCGTCATCAATGGTGTTGTTACCCTTCCCACCATGACCACCACCGTCCACCCCTTCCCACAGTCACCATCACTGCTATCACCACCTCCTACCCCTTCACCACCACCTCCACTGTTACCACCAACACAACCACCACCATTATCATTACCACCACAGCTACCACCATTACCATCACCTTCAACTACCATCACCCCCCTCATCACTACTACCAAAACCACCACATCATCATTAACCCCACCCCCATCACCATCAACACCATCATCACTACCATCAACACCACCACTACTGTCACCATAGCTGCCACGGTTACCACAACCACCACCATCATCACCACCAACACCCACACCACTGCCACCACCCTATCACCACTACCACCATGCCCCCCATCACCAGTCTCACCCCACCGGCACCTATGTAACCACCACCACTATTACCAACATCGACTCCTTTAACAAGTGCTTACAAAGTGGCTACAATTCTCAAAGCACTGTTCAGGTGCTTTGTTCCACCCAACATCATCAGCACCCCTTGTATTCCAGGCACCATTTCCTGTCTGTATCTTGGTGTGGCCTTGTGTAGGCTCTGGAGCCCTTGGAAATCTCTGGCAGCTGGGTGTCAGCATTTTTGTCAATGAGTGGTCTTGTGGGGACACTCCACAGGGAAAGAAGAGGATCTTTCTTTTAGAGTCCTTCCCCTTTGTCCCTGGGTAGAGTCCAGTGTGCTCTGGTGTCCCACATGCCTCAGTGTCTCCAAAGTAGACCAAGTCTTCAAGGTTCTTGTCATGATGTTTGCTCCGGGCTCTGTCCCCTGAGACTGACTCCATGGGCCTGGAGTTGGGCTCAGAGTCCAATTTAATTAGCTCCTGGGGGGACTCTGGCCTTGAGGGTCTTGGAGCTGGAAGCATCCCTTGCACTTTGCTGCCAGGTCCAACCACGATGCCAAGTGAACTCTCCTTCTCCCGCCTCTCTGCAGACACACCAAGATGAAGACAGCCACCAACATTTATATCTTTAACTTGGCTCTGGCAGACACGCTGGTCCTGTTGACGCTGCCCTTCCAGGGCACTGACATCCTCCTGGGCTTCTGGCCATTTGGGAATGCTCTGTGCAAGGCGGTCATTGCAATTGACTACTACAACATGTTTACCAGCACCTTCACGCTAACTGCCATGAGTGTGGACCGCTACGTGGCCATCTGCCACCCCATCCGCGCTCTGGATGTCCGGACGTCCAGCAAAGCTCAGGCCATCAACGTGGCCATCTGGGCGCTAGCCTCCATCATTGGTGTCCCAGTTGCCATCATGGGCTCAGCACAGGTTGAGGATGAAGGTGAGTGTGGGTTCCATGGGGCCCTCCCTGCCCTCTGCTCACAGTCCACAGGTCCCTAAGTGCTTTGACTGCTATCTCCCCACAGAGATCGAGTGTCTGGTAGAGATCCCTGCCCCACAGGACTATTGGGGGCCTCTGTTCGCCATCTGTGTCTTCCTCTTCTCCTTTGTCATCCCTGTTCTGATCATCTCCATCTGCTATACTCTCATGATCCGGAGGCTGCGCGGCGTCCGCTTGCTCTCAGGCTCCCGGGAGAAGGACCGAAACCTGCGGCGCATCACAAGGCTGGTGTTGGTGGTGGTGGCTGTGTTCGTGGGTTGCTGGACACCCGTCCAGGTCTTCGTGCTGGTCCAGGGGCTAGGCGTGCAGCCAGGCAGTGAGGCCGCTGTGGCCCTGCTACGCTTCTGCACAGCACTTGGCTACATCAACAGCTGCCTCAACCCCATCCTCTATGCCTTTCTGGACGAGAACTTCAAGGCCTGTTTCCGCAAGTTCTGTTGCGCATCTGCCCTGCGCCGGGAGACCCAGGTATCTGACCGTGTGCGCAGCATTGCCAAGGATGCGGGCTTGGCCTGCAAGACCTCAGAGACGGTGCCGAGGCCTGCATGACTAGGCGTGGACCTGCCCCTGGTGCCTGTCAGCCCGCAGAGTCCATCCACTCCCAACACAGAGCTCACGCAGGTCACCGCACTCTAGGCTGGGGGCCAAGCTAAACACTGCTGCCTCCGCCACAGCCCTTCAGCCTGGATGCTCAGCCTGGAGGAAGCTAAAGAAAAGCATGGAGCTTGAGATGGCATGGGACAGGGTGAGACACGAGGGCAGCCACTGAGGTCCTCTTGCAGACGACCCTTTGTTTCTAGTGATTCTTTCCCGCTGAGTCTTGAGCACACTGGAGATATGCCTCCAAGTGTGTAACGCTCTACACCCCCATGAGCTGTGCATGTTTATAGGCCCCAGGGCTCCTCGATGCCTCAGCCTGTAACTCCAAGCAACAGCTATCAACTTTGGGACTTGCCCACCACCGAGATCAGCAGTTCCGTTTGGGTGGATGAAAAGTCTTGTTCTATTGGCCTTGGTGGCCTTGGAAGGGTGGCAGGCCTCCTGCTGACCTGGTGTTATCCCAGAGGAGTCTCCCACTGCCCCTACGGTGTGAGTGGGGTCATACTGCAAGGGTTGGCCCTACAGGCGAGGGGAAGGACCTGACTTTGGGGCCTCAAGGTCACCCAGAGAACACCTTCGTTGATCTGCAGATGGAGGCTGCAGGTGGCTGGCTGACTTGGCAAATCCTTTTCCTGCTGCCAAGCTGAAAAGACTGCTATGTCCCGCCATTACCTAGAACTGAGCTGCAGTCCTTGACCAGGTGGCCCAGGGCCCCTGTATCTGACAGATGCTCTCACTCTGCCCCCCATTCCGAGCTTGGCCTTGGGGAGTGTCCTGGGGAACAGGAGGCTCTATGGACGCTGGGGCTCTATGGACTTCTGCCAAGTAACAACAGCACACCTTGTGTATTTCTGCATGTGTTTGTGTCACCTCCTGTGCATGTCTCCAGAGCTGGTGAGGGGTTCTTAATAAACACCTGCTCATGCTCACCCAAAGGAGCTCTGGTAGCGTAGTGGTTACGAATCAGGCTGCGAACCACAAGGTCAGCAGTTCGAAACTACCAGCTGCTCCGCGGGAGAAAGATGAGGC